TTGACCAGGATGGTCTTGATCTCTTGACCTTGTGATCCACCCGCCTCGGCCTCCCGCAGTGCTGGGATTACAGGCTTGAGCTACCGCGCCTGGCCTTTTTTTGGCTGTTTTTTAAAGAGAAATAAAAGGCACATGGTGGTTCACACCTGTATTCCCAGCAACTCAGGAGGCTGAGGCAAGAGGATTCTTTCAGGCCAGGAATTCAAGGCCAGCCTGGGCAATATCGTGAGACCCTGATTCAACAAAAAACTGAAAAACTGTCCAGGCACAGTAGCTCACGCCTATAATCTCAGCACTTTGAGAGACAACTGAGGTAGGAGGATCAATTGAGCCCAGGAGTTTAAGCCTGCAGTGAGCTATGACCATGCTACTACACTCCAGCACGGGTGACAAAGTGAGACCTTAACTCTTAAAAAAAAGTAAGGCTAATGTGAAAGTACTTTAATTTATATTTCTAAATACTGTTGTTAACAGATAGGTTTAACCCTTTGTCTAAGCCCTAGATAAAAATTTTAACCAAAAATAACTTGCAGGAGGCACCTATAATGATTTATAGTCCACAATCATCAGTTTATAATTTTTGCTTCTTACAGGTCGCATATCTGTGCCTATCGATTTGCACAAACTGGACGAATTTGATCCATTTACCGTTCCAACCATAAGGTGTGTTTCAGATCATTGATCACTCCCTGTTTCTGATTATTGTTCTGAATTTTAAATAGATTAGCCTCGTACTTAGAGGAAGTAGTTTCATGGGAATGGTATATTTGGTATGGAAACCAAATAAGGTTCAAAGGTTACATGATTATGCCCTAATAGAACAATAAAGCTTTTTTATCTGCTGTTATGTAAGAAAAAGATTAAGGTCAAATAAGTTTAGGAAATTCTGACTTAAACAGATTAAAAGTAGCTTTTACTACAATATTTCCCAATCTTTCATGTAACATGCATGAAAAACTCCAAGAAGAGATCATGGTGTTTAGAACATCCCAAATTTGGTTCACTAAATAATTTTTTCAGAGTAAATTTTATGGGATTCATGTGCCACTCTCTTGTTCTGTTACTTGCAGCTTCATCTGCCATGAATTGGATGCCATTTCCACTAATGAAGACAAAAAAGAGGAGAATGAAGCTGAATCTGATATCAAACACAGAACCAGAGGTAAGATAATATATTGAAGCTTCACTTTAATACAGGGGTTTTTTTTTTGTTTTTTTTTTTTGAGACGGAGTTTCGCTCTTGTTACCCAGGCTGGAGTGCAATGGCGCGATCTCGGCTCACCGCAACCTCCGCCTCCCAGGTTCAGGCAATTCTCCTGCCCCAGCCTCCTGAGTCACTGGGATTACAGGCACACGCCACCATGCCCAGCTAATTTTTTATATTTTTAGTAGAGACGGGGTTTCACCATGTTGACCAGGATGGTCTCGATCTCTTGACCTCGTGATCCACCCGCCTCGGCCTCCCACGGTGCTGGGCTTACAGGCTTGAGCCACCGCGCCCGGCCCAACACATATTTCTTAAGCAACTTCTAAATGCTGGGATCTATACTATAAGATTAAACTATCAGTAAGAATGAATAATCAGTCTCTGAGATTTACCACCTATTTATTTAACAACTATTATGTATGCAGTACTTTTGTTCTTGTTTTTCTGATGCATCTACGTGAGTTTTATGGTAAACATATGTCTATAAACTGTTTACCAAGGTGCATATTCAAGAATTTGAAGAAGTTAAGAAAGTTCTAAGCCTTCCTGCTAATGGAAGTCAAATCTTCTTCTAACACCTAAGAGATGCTGCAGGCTGGGCGTGGTGGCTCACACCTGTAATCCCAGCACTTTGGGAGGCCAAGGTGGGCAGATCACCTGAGGTCAGGAGCTCGAGACCAGCCTGACCAACATGGAGAAACCACGTCTCTACTAAATATACAAAAAATTACCCAGGTGTGGTGGCACGTGCCTGTAATCCCAGCTACTCGGGAGGCTGAGGCAGGAGAATCGCTTGAACCCAGGAAGTGGAGGAGCCAAGAGTGCCATTGCATTCCATTTCATTCTTGGGCAACAAGAACAAAACTCTGTCTCAAACAACAACAAAAAAACAATGCTGCATAGCAGCAGTCCCCAGTCTTTTTGGCATCAGAGTCTAGTTTTGTGGAAGACAGTTTTTGCACAGACCGGGGAGGAGGCAGGGATAGTTCCAGGATGAAACATTTTTTACCTCAGATCATCAGGTGTTAAATTCTGATACGGAATGCACAACGCAGATTCCTCACCTGTGCAGTTCACAATAGGGTTCATGCTCCTATGAGAATTTAATGCTGCTGCTGATCTAACATAAGGCAGAGCTCAGGTGGTAATGGTCACTTGCTGGTCACCTCACACCTGTACTCCCAGCACTTTGGGAGGCTGAGGCAAGAGGCTCACTGGAGCCCAGGAGTTTGAGATGAGCCTGAGCAATACAGAGAGACTCCATCTCTACAAAAAATAATAGTAATTAACTAGACATGCTGGCATGCACCTGAGGTCCCAGCTACTCAGGAGGCTGATTGTTTGAGCCCAAGAGGTTAAGGCTGCAGTAAGTCTTGATCACACCACTGCACTCCAGCCTGGGTGACAGAGGGAGACCTTGTCTCAATAAAAGTATAGGGCCGAGTGTGGTGGTTCACACCTGTAATCCCAGCACTTTGGGAGGCTGAGGCAGAAGAAATGCTTGAACCCAGGAGGCAGAAGTTACGGTTAGCCAAGATCGCCCACTGCACTCCAGCCTGGGAGACAGAGCAAGATGCCATCTCAAAAAAAATAAAGGAAACAGGATACTTAATGCAAAAACTTCTGATAATCTCCAAAAGACCTGAGCCTGAGCAACATAGCAAGACCTTGTCTCTACTAAAAATAAAAAATTACCCAGGTGTGGTGGCACTCGCGTGTGTTCCCAACCACTGGGAGGCTGAGGTGGGAGGATCATTTAAGCCAGGGAAGTGAACGCTGTAGTGAGCTGCAATTACACCACTGCATTCTAGCTTGGGCAACAAAGCAAGACATGTCTCAAAAATAAAGGCATGGGCCCGGAGCGGTGGCTCATGCCTGTAATCCCAGCACCTTTGGAGGCCAAGGCAGGTCAATCACAAGGTTAGGAGTTCAAGACCAGCCTGGCTAACATGGTAAAACCCCATCTCTACTAAAAATACAATAAAATTGTATTTTAGCTGGGCGTGGTGGCAGGTGCCTGTAATCCCAGCTACTCTGGAGGCTGAGGCAGAAGAATCGCTTGAACCCAGAAGGTGGAGGTTACAGTAAGCCAAGATCGCACCACTGCACTCCAGCCCATGTGACAGTGGGAGACTCCGTCTCAAAATAAATAACAAAGGCATGGCTTGAGTTCACATTTTCAGAGTCTTATTTTATCAGTAAAACTATTTATTGTTGAAGTCAGAGTGTCTAAAGAAAAAAAATGTTGAATGGGACTGAACACATAGCAATAGATTATATTGATCTAATACTAGGAAACCTGACTACCAGAGTAGAGATATGTACATGTGGTTGTCTATTTTAGAGCAGCACTGTCCAATACAGTACCCACATGTGACTATTAAGCACTTGAAATGTTTTTAATGTAATTTTAATTAATTTAGATTTGAAAATGGATAATTCAATTATTGGAAAACTTAAGTATTTCTTATAAACTTAGATATGAGGCCGGGCGTGGTGGCTCACACCTATAATCCCAGCACTTTGGGAGGCTGAGGCGGGTGGATC